AGGAGGAAGAAAAACATCTGGAAAGCTAGCAGAGAGGGGGTGACAACAAAGCACAGCCCAAGCCTAGAACTGCTACGTCCCAGGGTGCCAGCTTTGTAGCTGTGAAATGCTGCTTCAAGTGTGGTTCTACAAGGAGTGCGGATACAGTGAAAGGGGAAATGGGCGAGCAACACCAAAGTTATGTGTATGTATTTATTTCATTTTGTTAAAAGTATCTGTATGTGAGTGTGGAGGTAATGTATGTTAATATCTGATAAGTATTACGGTATATGTATGGGGGAGAGTTTGGAAAAATAAAAAATTATTTAAAAAAAAAAGAAAGGAAGGGGGATATTGGAGGTCTTTTAAGCTTCTAACAATACAAATCCATTGCCATGTGAACTGTGATAATTAAGCTGATGAAATGCTTGAATAAAGTAAAATGCACAATTAAAAAAAAAGTGTGGTTCTACAGAGCATCTCCAGAGACACTGCCTTGAGAGGAGAAAAAGAGGAGCAGCGACACAACTGACATTTTCACTGGCAGCAACATTAACAGAGAAAAACACTTGGTTGTTAGACAGTGGGGCTAGTCAGCATATTGCAAATGACCACAATTGTTTTCTAACCTGAGACCAGCTAAGCAAGCATTTGTTAGATTGGCTAATGGACAACAGTTGCTGTAAAAGGGGAAGGTAAAATTTATGTACCTGATATTGGGAAAAATTTGGATAATGTATTATATGTATGAAGTAATATTTGCAAAGAGTCAATATATCATAAGGAAAGGTGGGAGGATTTGTGCACAAGGTGTTAAACAGGATAATTTGTATGTACTAAGGAAGCAGCAGGTGGTGCACAAACACTCCCAAACACTCACAAGCATGATAACTGTGTACACTTATTACACAGAAGGTTAGGACATGCAAGTTTTAAAGTGTTGTAGAGGATGCCAGACCTAGCTGAGGGAATAAGAATTAAAAAATGCAAGACATATTTAGATTGTGCTATTTGCAGTAGTTGAAGTCTAGTGTGTATCCTGTAAATAAGAAAAGTACAAGGCAAACTAACAAGGTTTTGCAGTTAGTGCATGCTGATTTAATTGGTCCTATGGTGCCCTCTCTTGGAGGAGCTAGGTACATACTAGTCTTAGTAGATGACTACATCAGGTTTGGATTCCGTTACTTATTAAAGAAAAAAAAACTGAAGTTCTACAACAGTTTAAGCAATTGGTGAACTTTGTAGAGAGAAGGTTTTTTTCCTATGAATATCTTCCCTATGACGTTAAATTTAACTCTGTTAGCAAAATTAGGACAAACTGGAGAAAAGTAGATTGGTGTTTGCATGACAGTATGAATATATGATAAACCCACACAAAACAATGATAGTTATGGGATCATTTCATACATTCATTCATTCAGTTTGGCTGCACAAGTCTCTGTGTATGTGTGTGTGTGTGATTTTTTTTTAAAGGCTAGTCTTATTTCACCTTGTAGATATGGTCAGAGTTGTATGATATCACAATTTTTAATAATTTTAAAAAATATAAAAAAGGACCAGAGCAATTTAACACCCATTGTACATTTTGCCAAATTTGATCCTAAGAGAAATAATAATATTGAAAAAGAAAATCATAGCAACGTTTTATCTTTACAGATATTATATCAATATTTTATTAAAAATCAATGTAAGCAACAGTTCTTTTACATTAAATAAAGATGCAATAGTTTGTATAAACAATGGCAGACTTTATATATCTTAACACATATGAAATCTCACAATTGGACCTATCAAAAGTAAACATTTAGAATTTTAGACATCTAAGACAACTTGAAGAAACATTTCTCAGATTTTCACAACTGGATTGTTTTATATAGAACTAAATTAATAATTAAATATTTTGTTTCTAGAATATTTTATAATGATTTAATAGGTTAAATTGGAATAATCTCTAGAAATAAAGTAGAAGATACTAATACTAGAAATTTGGACTAGAATGTCTAACAGAACTTAGCAAGGCTTAGATTTCAGGGAGGAAAGAAGAGAGAAGAGAGACAGAAAGAGAATGAAAGAGTTCTTCTATTGCTTTATTTATCAAAGAAAACTTACCAATCAAGTTTTATCAAACTGCACAATATTATTTCACTGTTCAAGGATGTTGTTGTTGTTGTTTTAAAATTCAGATACCACCATTATGAAAAGGATGAAAAGGATTGGGAACACAAAATAAATCTGCTACCCAAATCTAGTAGAAATTCATTTAAATTAAAAATATTTAGCTATAATAGTGGACTGAAATAAATACTGTAGCCTGTTATTTACTGTGTAAATGGTCAAGCAAGTTCTTCAATATCTGGAAGTGAAGAAAGAAAGAGCAGTAAATAGTTATGTCAACAAATTAAACTTCTTAGGAATAATGTGTCCCAATAAAAGATGTGGGAAAGAAAAATAAATCCATAAAGCGTTTGACAGTTCAAAATGAATGGAAAACAAAGGCAAAAGGAAGACAGAAAAAATGAAAGTGCACAATAGAACAAATGAAAAATGTATTTTAGTGAAATTACCATCCCTTATAGAAAATACAAGGAATTTATAAATCAGGCATTAATACTAGGCACAGCCACTATAGGTCATCAAAAAGACATCTATCTATCTCCAGGAAAATAATCAAGCCTTCATATTTTTAAAAGACATTTTGGAAAGAAAACCAAGCTTGAAATAGTTTCTTTACTTTAAATATTGGCATGAATTGAAGAGTTATCAAGTTTTCTTACATGCATATTATGTAACATTATATCCAGAGAGTGTGAAGAATCATAATAAATGCATAATAATTTCTATCTAGGAATCTAGTTTGGTATGGAGGTTAAGGAACTAAGCTAGTAACTGGAAAATGGTAACTTCAATTCCTACCTTCCTTCCTATTCCACAAAGACCTAGGAAGAATGCAATGATAAACTACCTCTGAAAATATTGCAAGGCAAATTGCATGAATTAGTCCAGTTCAGGAGTTAAACTTAAAATAAATAAGCAAACAAAAACAAAATTTGTCTATTTATAGTACACTTTTACATCTCATTTCCTATTCATCTTTCATTTTCTTGCTTTCCACTGCAGGTTGTATGTTACACACACACACACCTCACAGTAATATTCGAAATATAGATGGAAATAGGATGAACAATGTTAGTCTTTAATGTACAATACATTTCTTAGACCTTCCAATATGAAAGACTAGCCTATTATTACTGCTAAATGTGTGTGTGTGTGTGTGTGTGTGTGTGTGTGTGCGTGTGCACACACACACATTGTATTTGGGGGAGTGTAATTTACAGATAAATAATTTCAAGCAATGAAATGTTACAGAAATAACTGATAAAGAAATAAGTATGCATAGAAACAGCTCCTTTTTAATAGTTGTATTTGTACAATGTACTTTAATAGTCTCATAAGGCTCTACTTTTAAATGGTTATGCCTTGAATAACATACACTGGTCTTTTGTTATCATCATGATTATTGCTTCATTCATCTTGTCCCTCATCCTTGTTCCAGGTGTTACGGCTTCTGCTTTCTATGTTTAGTTCTATGTGTTGTCACTATCATTCAAGTCTCGTTCTTGTTTTCTTTCCATCAGACCTTGAATCTATATTTTATTGCCATCTCTTTTCACCATGCATTTCTAAGTTAATTAATTTTTGTTTTCCCCTTGATGAACAGTTTTTGCACTTCCTAGGCTTTGTTAGCTGAATTTTACATCTTGGCATACCATATTTTTTTCTTGTGTTATATAGTTAAAGAAAAATAACAATTTGTGCTAGTAAACAAAAGAAAACAGAACTGAGTATCTGCAATTATATTTTTTTTCCTCTTGATCAAATAAAATAGAGAATACTGAAAAAAACTTATTTTCAGCAAACTACTTGTTTTATTATTTGGGAACAAAAGGTTAAGGATAAGGGGATGGGGGATAACAACAACAACAACAACAACAATAACAACAACAACAAGTTGGAAGGAATCTTGAAGGTCATCTAGTCCAACCCTCTGCTCAGGCAGGAAACCCTATACCATTTCAGACAAATGGCTGCCCAGTCTCTTCTTAAAAACTTCCAGTGTTGGAGCATTCACAACTTCTGGAGGCAGGTTGTTCCACTGATTAATTGTTCTAACTGTCAGAACATTTCTCCTTAGTTCTAGGCTGCTTCTCTCTCCATCTGTTGCTTCTAGTCCTATCTTCCAATGCTTTGGAAAATAGTTTGACTCCCTCTTCTTTGTTAAATTCCCTGAGGTATTGGAATACTGCCATCATGTCACCGTTCCTTATTTGTTTTAGCCTCCAGTCCCCTGATCATCTTTGTTGCTCTTCTCTGTACTCTTTCTAGAGTCTCAACATCTTTTTTACATCGTGGTGACCAAAACTGGATGCAGTATTCCAAGTGCGGCCTTACCAATGCATTGTAAAGTTGTATTAACACTTCACGTGATCTTGATTCTATCCCTCTGTTAATGCAGCTTAGCACTGTGTTGGCTTTTTTGACAGTTGCAGCACACTGCTGGGTCATATTTAAGTGATTGGGGATAGGGGATAGGGAGAGAGGGAGGGAGGGAGGGAGGAATGAAGGAAGGAAATTAAGATTATAGTTTAGAGTGTTTGGACTAAATTATATTTATCAAGATTTAGTCTGGATGTTAAAAATTATATAATAATGTAAGATTCAAATTTGTCCATGGGGTCGCGATGGGTCGGACACGACTTCGCAATTAACAACAACAACAAAGATTCAGATAATTCAACAATATAAATACAAACAAGAGACATTATAAAATTTTAAAAGTGCTATTATTACCAACCAATGCTTATGTATCAACTGATTTTGTGATGTCATCAATTTCCGTGTATCGAACTGTTAAATGAAATACAACAATGATAACAGTAATCTTGTAATAGCCATGATTTTTACTTGACACAGACCAGTAAAATTTGTTCATGTGACTAGGCTTCTTTATTTTGTGTGTGCAGAGATAGTATCAAGCCTCTGTGGGCTTGCCACTAACGGAAGAGGGGAGGACAGGACAAGACCATTGGATGGAGGCATCCGGAGGCAGCGGATGGGACCAGCAACAAAGGTGGCAGCAACAGCCCTTTCCCTCCCCCATTACCTGGATGCTGGAAGGGGGACCCTGTTTGGCGTGCCAAACAGCTGACCAGTGTGAAGAAGCAGCGGAAAGCTGGAAGCTTGCCTCGCTTCCCAGCCTGGCTATTCTTACTGGTGCGCATGCTGGATGCTGGCTAGGTGGGTGGGGGTGGTCAGGAGACATGTATTTAGAGCGCAGGGAGGCAGTTGCTCCCAGTGCTAACTTTGTTTGCTGTTTCTTTAGATACCATATGCCAAAGCATTCCGTGAATAAACCAACCACCTGTGAACTCAACGGCTTGTTTCTTGTTGGAACCAGGGGTATAGCAGGGATTTCTGATAGTTTTGTATAATGATTAAAAGTATTGGACAAGAGAGCATGATATCATGAGTTCTACAGCTATCTTAAGGAACAAACACAGCAGGATGACTTTGGGCCAGTCACTCTTGGTCCATGTGGCATCACTTCTGAAAAATGTTTTCAAGAAAATTGTATAGGCTAACTCATATAATCCTCAGGAATCAAGGTACAAACTCACATATTTCTATATTACAATCTTCAGTTGAACTAAAATTGGCAAGTTTAGGGATACCGCTGTTGTTCTTACAGTACTCATAATGAAGAGAACAAGCTAGAATATAGGGAGTGATAATTAGGTACTCCCTAATTTCTTATAGATTAATTTATACAATGAATTGATCCCAAAGATACTGAACATCTCATGTAAACTACAATTAAAAAATGACAGTGTACATTTCTGTTTTGAAAAAGTCAAAAATCTGGTCAGCAATTTGGAACATGGAACCTTTAAAATAAATGGATTTTTTTGTCTTTTTTATTATTTCCCATTCATTTGCACAATCCTGATGGTCTTATTTTATAGAAATAAAGAGTCATGGACAGAAAAGAAAAGGGGAAGGAACTTTAAATGTCACTGGTAACTTACTGAAGAATACTTCAGGAATAACAAACAAACAAAAGTAGTTACTTTTTCGAATATCTTTATTATCAGCATCTACTGATAACTCTTTTCTAAACTTTTTTCAACTTCCACTGAATATCCTTGCTAATTTAATTCTTGTACATTTTGTTCAGAGAGGTGTAGAAAAATAAAAATAGCACAGGCTCAATTTCTCTTTCAGTACCAAGTCTCATGTCAGATCCCACTACTATATCTAAACTCTTGGGAGATTATAGAGAATTGGTGCACTCTGAACAATACTTATAAATCTATTTTAAGAACCAGGTAATATATGAAAGGAGAGCTTTAATTAAGTTCTCTGTATGCATCGTGGACTGTGTGCTTGTATGTGTATTTTCTAATCCTTACAGCCTTAATTTGCTGTACACCCCTAAGAGCTGTGTATTGTCTTTGAAGCATTTCAGAGACACCAGACTCTTTTAATAACAATATCAATTTAAACATGCATTATACTATTAAGAAATAAATAACATTATACTAGGCCCTTGAGAGACCTTTGAGCTGAGCATATATACTGACTACAATAAATAGTGTTATGATCTGTGGCTATCTGTGTACATTAGGTCCTTTATTCTTTTAGGCAGTATCTTCTTGTTTTGTATTTTTATTGTATATTGCATATTTTATTTGTTTGTTTTCCTACTTAGACAATCTAGATGTGTTTCCTCCTGTGAGCAAAGAGTCAAGGATGACTGAAGACATAGCCACAAGGAAGAGAAAAGATGATGACTACTGTGAAGAATGAAGAATCAGGAGTAGACTGGACCTTTGCAATCCTTATGAAAAAGGGACCAAACGGGAGATCACCCACAAGCAAAATGAACGGCAGCTCATCATCATAAGTCCAAAATAATGGCCCCACCGTATTGAAACCAAATACTGGTGGTGAGAGCCCTTTCATTATATGTTAATGAATAGCTGAATAGCTATCTGTTGAATGCTTATATTTAAATTTTTGCTTTAAGAGGACATTGCATCTGATTGTCTATATGACTCTTTGCAACTCTATAATTCTAAAGTTGATGTAGTTGTTTGTAGAGAGTATTTATTCAGCATAATCTGGAAAAGAGGAAAACAGAAATTATTTCTACCATCTGGTTACCATTTAGTTCTTGATCTAATTTAAAGCTTAGCAGGAACAAGAAAAGATTGTATAACTTACTGAAGCAAAACAGAGATGCAAAAATGAATGTAGAGGAGTATACAAATTTGAATGAAAATACTGCATTACATATATACAATCAATATCTTGAAAAAATTGTTTACTATTTTCAAAGAGAAAGCAACTTTTACATGCAGTATGAATTGAATTGAAACATAATTTTCAAAGATCCTGGAGCACAGGGGAACTACCAGAGGACTGGAAAAGAGCTGATGTAGTTCCCATCCTCAAAAAAGGAAAAAAAAATGGACCCAGGAAATTACAGACCTATCAGCCTGACCTCAATACCTGGGAAGATCCTGGAAAAGATAATCAAACAATGAATCAACGAACACCTAGAGGCAAACAAAATCACTACTAAAAGCCAACATGGGTTTATCAAAAATAGATCATGCCAGACAAATCTTATTGCATTCTTTGACCAAGTGACAAAATTAGTGGATCAGAGAAATGCTGTGGACATAATTTACTTGGACTTCAGTAAGGCATTTGATAAAGTAGATCACAACCTACTACCTGACAAGATAGAAAAATGTGGGGTAGAAAGCACCACCAGCAGATGAATCCGTAGCTGGCTGACCGGCCGTACTCAGTGAGTGGTCCTCAATGGAACTGTATCTAAATGGAGAGAAGTGTGTAGTGGGGTGCCCCACTGGGCTCTGTTCTGGGCCCAGTGGTCTTCAATATCTATATCAACGATTTGGACGAGGGGGTAGATGGGGAACTCATCAAATTTGCAGACGACACCAAGCTGGCAGGAATAGCCAACACTCCAGAAGACAGGCTTAAGATACAGAAAGATCTGGACAGACTTGAACACTGGGCGCTATCTAACAAAATGAAATTCAATGGTGAAAAAAGCAAGGTTCTACATTAAGGCAAGAAAAACCAAATGCACAGGTATAGTATAGGAGGGACCTTGCTCAATAGTAGTAACTGTGAGAGGGACCTCGTGGTCCTAGTGGACAATCACCTAAATATGAGCCAGCAGTGTGCTGCAACTGCCAAAAAGTCCAACACAGTGATAGGCTGCATTAACAGAGGAATAGAATCAAGATCACGTGAAGTATTAATACCACTCTACAATGCCTTAGTAAAGCCACACTTGGAATACTGCATCCAGTTTTGGTCACTGTGATGTAAAAAAGATGTTGAGACTCTAGAAAGAGTACAGAGAAGAGCAACAAAGATGATTAGGGGACTGGAGGCTAAAGCATATAAGGAACGGTTGCTGGAATTGGCTATGTCTAGTTTAATGAAGAGAAGGACGAGGGGGGACATGATAGCAGTGTTCCAATATCTCAGAGGCTGCCACAAAGAGGAGGGTGTCAAGCTATTTTCCAAGGTGCCTGAAGGCAGGACAAGAAGCAATGGGTGGAAACTAAGCAAGGAGAGAAGCAACCTAGAACTAAGGAGAAACTTCCTGACAGTGAGAACAATTAATCAGTGGAACAACCTGCCTCCAGAAGCAGTGAATGTTCCAACACTGGAGGTTTTAAGAAGAGACAATTAATGTATTTAGATTTATTCATGGTTTATATCTTTTTAAAGATTTTTTGAAGAAATTTTAATTAAGCCTATATTCAGCTCTGGGAAGGTCGGGGGAGGGAATGGGAGGGTTGGGGAGGTTTGGGGAAGGGTTGTTTTGTTTTTGTAAAATTTTAAAAAAATTTCAATTAAAAAAAAAAAGAAGAGACTGGACAGCCATTTGTCCGAAATGGTATAGGGTTTCTTGCCTGAGCAGAGGGTTGGACTAGATGACCTCCAAGGTCCCTTCCAACTTTGCTATTATTATTATTATAATTTTGGCTGTCACTTTATTGAACCAGGTCACTTCTCTTCTGCAGGAAACTTATACTTGAAAGTTATTGCATATGTTCTAACACTTGTAATGTCAGCCAATTAACATTCATGCATTCATCCATTCTTTTTGTTTTTAATGAATAAATGGAAGCAACCAGAGTGTTAAAGTTTGTTATCTTGTCATTCAAGACTTTGGAACAGACTACGCCAATTTACAGCTAACAAAATCGCAAATTCATCTTTAACATACTTCTGAAATATGATTCTTCTGACATGGAAACTTCCACTACTGTTTATTCAATTCAGGATTCTTATGAACTATCCATCTCTATGACAAACCCTGTAGAAATTTTAGGCCTCTATAATTCAACTATGTTAACTACAGTAATCAAGCCATCTCTACTTTATGATTTATTTTATTTGCTTTATAGTGACAACAGTATGACATATAGTATCAAACTGTCCATGAATCTATAAAATCATCCCTAGTTAATACATTTTCTCATTTCAAAAATATATCTTTTCAGACAGTTGCTGGTATCAAAAGAATTTTGTTGTCATTATTATTTCCTGAGACTAAGCCTTTCAAACAGTAAGTTTCATTCAACAGAGATTAATAATAATAAATTTTCTGCCAATCTGCTATATCAATGTTTGAGATGTTAAAATTATTTAAAGATGCAAACAGGAAGTGGTCACTTAAAAGCTTATCAAAGGGATCATGAGATATCACAAGAAAAATGTTTCTATTTCCTGTTCATTCAATCCATACAAAGTAACATATGGTTTAGAGAAATGTTGTATAAGACTTAAAAAGGCACAATTTCATTTGCAAAAGAGCTATTCATACATACACATACGCATATGTGTATGCATAGACACATGCACACGCACACATACACACACACACACACACACACACAGAGAGAGAGAGAGAGCTCTGAATTGTAACAAATGACCAAAGAATGCAAGATAAAGGAACCTTCCTATCTGACATTTGTTACTTTTCATCTCAAACTAATATATTATTTAATTTCCCAAGTTCTTTGAACATGGAGAATGCACAGCACAAATAACTTGCCATGAATGAATGCCTGAATTCTACATTTTCTTTATCACATAATTATCATAAAAATTGTGAATACCCAACCTGGTTATATGCAGTAAATTCAGATTTTGTTTCCTAAAAATATACTGTCCACTGTATAATTAAAAATACTTGACCAGATCCTCAAATCTGAAAATAGGAGAATTAGTTATTTAAGGTCGTAGCTCTTCAGATCTGTAGTAAGGGGGTGAGTTAATTAATAATCACTGATGTCATAGAATTGCTATAAAATCATCCTTGTAACATAATAAACTAATGAAGGAATATAGGTTGGTATGCAAATTGAACTCAAATATTATATTGATAGTATTAATAATAAAAGTTGCATTATTAGTGAGGAAAATTTTGAAAAGAGATATTCAATGTAAAATTATATTATATTTAGGGGATAGGGTTAGGGTTCAAGTATTTTTTGGAATGTTAATGTCTTCTCTAAAAGACTATTGTTACTTTATAAACACAATAATATGGCATCATAGCTGTAGGTTTTAGCTGGTATTGGCCTTCACACACATCAAATTCTTCCCAAGAACCTAGGATGTTGTAATGTATCAGCATAATATACATACCAAACCAAACAGTGTGGTGACCTTTTGCAGTTGACAATTGGAAATTTTATCAATGTGCAGATTTTCTAAGTGCTGAGAATTTTTGGTAGGGCAAATAATTACTGGAACTGATAATTACTGGGACTACCAGGGTCAGTTTATATTACAATATTTAAACTTCAGTTTTCAGATCTTGATCTTCTCCATTTCTTTAATTTTGTCTGTGAAAGGGAAGAAAATATTATCATTATGTATTGAGATTTTATATTGAGAATAGTATAAAATCTATTATCAATATTATTTAATAATAGAAAAATCTATTAAAAGATTATTTTATTTATTATTTCTGATAAATTTCCATTGTACTAGTACTGATTGGCAGCCAAAAGCCAATATAATATCATGCATTTGATAACTGCTGGGAGGCCAAGTTCAAGTTACATTAATTGGTTGTTCTGAGCCAGTCACTATGTCTCAGCCCAATCCATAGCACGGGGTTGGTTGTTCTTTAAAAAACAACAACTTAGAAGTGTGTGACATCTTTGGTCCTTTGAAAAATAACAAATTAACCCCCCCCCAAAAAAAACAATAAATATTGTAAAATTGTTATTTGTTTATAATTTCAAAATATAGAGATTGAGAGAGTTCTATCTAATGTCAACTTATTTCTGTTTAATGGGGACTTGCATCAATAGACTCCCTATAGCAGTTACCATTCCTTTTTTCTGTCTTTCCTTAAATTTCTAATTGTATGACCTGAAATGAAAACCTTTGATAGATAGATATCTGTGTGCCTTTTATTTTATACATTATTTTTTTTCATTTTAAATTTCTGAACTTTTCAGAAATTATTCAGAATACATTACTTAATATAGAGTATAATACTTTACATTATTATATAATTTATTATAAATTATATTCACACATTTCTGTGTAGCATCATAATATCAAACCACTCTGGTAAGACTAGTTTGCAAAGAGAAAGAGGAGGGTGGAGTAGAAAAGTAGCTGAGCCCCTGCTGATTGGACCTCCATTACATTTAAACTGCCCAGAGGTTGTTGGGAAGAGCTATAATCTGTGAGTTAAGAAGGAGGAGGGTGGAGGAGGAAAGTAGCTGAGCCCCTGCTGATTGGACCTCTATTGTATTTAAACTGCCCAGAGGTTGTTGGGAAGAGCTACAATCTATGAGTTAAGAAGGAGGAGGGTTGAGGAGGAAAGTAGCAGCCCGCGCGCCTAATGGCGTGCAAATCATATAATTAAAAATCAAAAACAGCAGCAGAACATTCAGGGCAAGTGCATCTGAGATTCTTTTCATCTCAAAATGTCTGTCTTTTGCAGGACTCTTTTCAAACTTGGAAACTGTCCTATCTGTAAACAAATCACTACTCTACAAGAACAGATTATTTATCTAGGGTCTGTAATCTGTGCTCTTCAGGCAGAAATTAGGTGTCCAGTTCAGCCCTTATACTTTATTGAGCATCCACGCTATCAGCCCCCTCTATCACAAAGAT